TCATGATAGTGCAGATTTGTCTTTGGTTGATCATGATGAAATGGGGGGAATGCCTACTACTGCTAAGTTAAATAAAGGTTCTGTACAACTTGAACGTGAAGTAGAAATTAATGCAGTTGCAGAAGGCATGCATACTTGTCAAACCGTCAGTGTAATTGATCAGAGTGAAGCCCACCTATCATCAGATGCTAGTCCTAAAGCGGAGCTGATAGTAAAAGACAGCAGTGGTGGTGGTCTTGCAGTTAGACAACTTTCTGAAAGCCGAAAAGGAACAGCTCCTGATCCACCGCTAAGTTCATCAACTGGTATCAATCAGTCATCGTTGGTGTTGTCATCCACAATGAGAAGGACGCCCATGAACTCAAGTATCTTGTCCAATGACTATGATATTTTTGGTGCGTTTGAAGGGACGAAAGATATTGTTCAGTTTAGTGAGGATAAGCGAGGTGTAAACGAGAGAGTAATTGTTAAATTGACTTGCGTGATAAAAGGTTTTTCAAGTTCCAAATTACTACTTGAATGCTATTATCTTTGGTGTAAATTACTCTGTGCCTACGCTTGGTTGACCAGATACGTCGTGTGTTTGTTCGTCATCTATATTCTACGATACAATGACATGAGCGTGTTGCCGTTCAGATTTGAGGATATAGCTGATAGAAGGAAGTTAGCAAATGAACTCTGCGATGATTTTCCAACCTAGGGTGTCAACTTGAGAAGGGTTGTAGGCGTACTACTGTAAGTCCTACAATTCTTCAAAGGGTAGCACATCAATGAGCAGTCCAATGTGCTTGGTGTGTGATTTTGTACATATGTTCATATTGTATATACTGAATTGATATCATCTGTCATCTAGCTGTTGGTAATTCTGTTTGTGTCCGGACGACTTCCACTTGGATCATCAACGTGAGAAGGAATGTAGGCGTACTGCTGTAAGTCCTACAGTTCTTCAAGGGTAGTTTGTCATACCGGAATCCACAACATTTGATGTAGTGATTGTACATATGTTTGTGTTAAATTATTGTGTGAGTTCCAATTGATATAATTGTTGGTTAATTTTGTTTGTGTCCGGACATTCCACAACTTACAATCGTCAACCTGAGAAGGGTTGTAGGCGTACTGGTGTAAGTCCTGCAATTCTTCAAAGGAATTCCACCAAAACATGATCCGCGAGGTTGTTTGTACTATTTGTATATACGTGTGGTGTGTCATATCAATTGGTGTATTTTGGATTCATTGTGTTTACTTGTTGTTTTCGCGTCTTGTTGTTATTGCGTAAATTTGTTAAAATTTTCGTCGTGATTACTTCTGAAGTTGTTTCGAGTCTTCTACATCCGTGAATGAATTGATAGATGTTAAAGACAGCAGATGGGTCGTATACGCCGGGGAGACTAGGCTATTGCTGAGAATGAAATGCATACGGAGATAATTGTTAGCTGCGGTCCCACACGCTGGGGAGAAAGAGTGTAGATGACTGACGCTCGCATACGTCACCGTCACTAGAACTGAGGCAGAATGAGTGACAAGCGATTGCAGTGGTAATTGGTAATGAGTAGATAAGAGGATGTGCGTAGAGTATCGTGAGGTGCTGCCATGGTCACTTTGCATTCTGCAAGAGTCATTCTAGCAAATGGCGATTGTGTTGCAAGATGTCAAGAGGAGGTCTCTGTCTGGAGGCGCAGGTCGTCATTGATGTGTGAGATTGTGCTGTGGGTATGCTTGTGGTGTGTTGGCTTTTCTGTTTGTTTTCCATTTCAGCTCTGTCCGTGTGACCCAGGTTCTCGCGATGGCATCCAAGTCAACGTGTATTGGTCTTGATGACAAAAAGAAATGGATGGATCCCTTTTTTGGCGGGGAGTGTCAATGTAGTTGAAGATTAAACGATCAATTCTTGGTTGTTTGCTCAAAATCAACTTCCCCAATTTTCGCGGAGGCATCAATACACCAGTCATCGTCTCATCGGTCGCTGTTCAGAAAGAAGTCAGGAGACAACCGTCAGAAGTAATACAGTGATTTATTATTGTAATATTTGTTCATAGACCTTAGTTAAAACTTAATTTTAAAACTACCTATATGTTGGTGTTACAATAAAGAATTCTCTAGTGGCCAATCGGTGTTTTGGTTTTTTCGTCCGTTATTACTAAGCGTTTCTGAGAAACTTCAAGGAACAGCGTGAGTCCCAGTGTAGCAAGAGCTGGGCACTGATGGTTTACGATACTTGGCTGACAACTTGTCTTACGTGACGAATATCCAAGAGCCAGACCGACTATGATTCATACTTTGAACCGAAGAGCTAGCGAAACGCAAAAGTTTGAAGTGACAAGTGGCCATTTCAGGATGACGTTGAGAAAACTTTCTTTGCATACGTGGGAGAGAAGACCAACCAGACAGCTAGCATGTACCTTAGAAAGTCGAAACGGTCAGTACCTCACCGGTCTGGAGATGCCTGGAACATTCGGTTTAGCCTTCGCCAAACAGTTAAACAACCATGTGGACATTACTGGCATGGACCAAAATGTAGGCACCACCACTTCACTGAGGGTAAACCTGACAGCTGCTCTCCAAGTTAACATGTCAGTAGTACTAGGGAAGCTACAGAGACTCACATTCGGAAAGCCTCCGGGTTATGGTGACATATAGCCATCTGTTCTAAAACAGGGTCTTACACGGCTTGTAACAAGACTTGAGAGATTCAGGGAAACAGTCACAGTTTGGAATAGAACCATTCTTCATCCGATTTTCAAGGGTAGAGAAGCGGGAAATGCGGCTGGTTATAGACAAGTAGCTCCACTTCCAGTGATATCAAAAGTACTGGAAAGTCTAATTGATGATCACATTAGGGAGCACCTCGATTAACAGACTCCATGAAGCACAACATGGATTCAAGAAAGGCAGATCCTGTGTACCAAACTTACTATCAACTTGAGCCATTAGGCACGATGCTAGGATTTGAATATTTCAGTCTATGTAGTCTTCCTAGACTTTGGGAAAGCATTTGACACATTTCACCATAATAATAATAATTAAATAACAATAATGACCTACTCTTAAACAAAATAAATCAGGCAGGCATATTTGAGCCGCTTCTATCACGGTTGAAGGACTAGCCAGGTGAAAAGAAATTTGTCAGAGGTCAGTTGAGTCTGATCATCTTGATACGGCTCGTTATTAGTAGTGCCGCAGAGCTCTATTCTAGGACCACTGATGTTTTTGATTTTTTCAATGACTTACCAGGACATCTAGGCTGTCCGACTCTTGTTTATACTGACGACGTAAAGATTTGGAGAGCACTAAAGTGTTCCGAAGATCCAGACAGACACGAGGCAGATCTAAAATTCTGGAAGGCTGGACGGTAAACAGTGATAGAACTTTCAAACTGAAAAGTGCAAAGTAGTGAAATTGCGTACCTGTAGGCTGCAGAATGCGAGTTGCACCCTGTGCAAAGAAAGCTCGTCCTGCGCAACGTCGGAGCATGACTTAGGTCTAGTCCTAACGGAAAAAATGGACACAAGCGTAAATTACACGGGGGATGCAGTGAGTGCATGTGCGGTGATACACTTTAGACATAGACAGCTTGGTGCAACCACTCCTGAGCTTTTTCTAAGGTTGTAAAAACACAAGTCAGGGCACAACTTGAAGTGCGAAATATCATTGCAACCCCACTATTTACAACAGACGCCAATCTGTTGGTAAGAGTCCAAAGACGGATGACAAAAAGAGTGGTTGGTCTCCGAAATAAACCGTGCGTTGAAAGGCCAAAGAAATCGGGCATATTCACACTTGACTGCTGTCCGCTAATGAGGGGCATGATTACTGTCTGTAAGGTAATAAATAATCAGAACAACCCTAAAAAGGTGTTCTGATGATGCATAATTTTGGGCTACTCCATGGGAATCCCTGAAAGGCAGCCCATCAGAGAGCAGAGACTTGAGTGTCACCCCATTTCTTTTCACTGCGAGTTTGGCCACGCTGGAACTACTTACTGGCAGATGTAGTGGTGGCACCGTCAGTGGACACTGTTAAGTGAAGGCTGGACAATCATGCAGTGACACAAGGACTCCATCCAATGGCCTATCCCCTCAAAATCCCATACATTATTCGGGGGAAGACATCCAAATGTGTTGTTTCGATTCCCCACGATTTCTCGTTCTGTTTTCCTTTCAGTTTGTTATCACAAGCCGTGACTACTGTGCTGTAGAGGTAGCATTCAAATAAATTGAGTTATTAGGAAGCAATACATATGCTACTTTTAGCTAATTGCCAGTAAAGTCGAGTACGTCTACCACCTGAATTGTGCAAATACACAGAAGCATCGACCGCATTAACTAATCAAGTCACTGATGTCCCTAACGCCAACATCCAATCAGTGTTATCTAAGTAATCAACCCCTCTGTCAAAATAAATACCCTCATTATCGGTGCATAGTACGTGATATTACAGGGAAACAGTTCTCACCTTTGAGGGCTTGTTATGAAAGCATGGCGGTGGGTCAGTGGAGAAGGGAAACGTGCTCAAACATATGAAATGGCATTCGCAGTTCGATAGCGTTCAATAGATTAAGAGAGACTTACAAATCATAAGAAAGACGTAGCTTTCATTGGATTACTTATCTCATCCTTCTGAACGCCATAATCAATTACTACCCCTGAGTGATCACAGCTCTCTGTATGTTAAAGACTCTATATAATCACTGATATTGTTGTGATATTTCTTTGCTGTAACATATATTTATTCTCTTAAATGTTCATTCACTATTACTTTTTGTCAGACAGAAGAAGAAATTTCTTTAAGGACTGAAGCCGATCAAACACAGCAACAACGTCGGAATATTCATTCAGATTTGATCAATTACTAACAGACTTTGAGAACTATTACGGACACAGTAAATTATCAACAAGTTTGACTGGACGTCAATAAATGTTCCTTTTTATCAAGAAACTGAGATGAATTAAACATCCTAGTTTCTGCGGGATTATAGACACTTTATATTTGTTTTTCTACTACAAATCTTAAGGTTGCTCCCCGCTATAGATTGCTTCAGAAACAAAAATGACTCTAGACGTTGCAGAGTTGAAATCAAGGTTGCACAAACAGTCTGAGCTAATAATGATTCTGAAGTCAAGAGCTGATTCTGAAATGGAAAATCGCAAGCTTGCAGAGTGTAAACTGCTGTCTGAATTGAAAAGAAATCAAGATCTCAAGGAACAACTTGTACAATATCAGCAAAAGTTAGATTTGCAATACAGACATAAAGATTTTATTCTAGAGCATCTGATGCCGAAATTAATAGTCGTGTATTGAGATCTAATTTGGACAGTCTAAGTTTCGAACTGCTCTGTCAAACATCAGCTAAAAAGTTAGGTCATCACCTGACAGACGCATGTATCCAAGCTGAGCCTGTGAAGACTTTTCAAGATAAAAGTATCAGCACTCAGCGAAATGATGAAGAATGTCTTGATGTTTATCGTGATAAGTTCAGGTTTGTTGTCACTAAGAGGAGATTTTTGAAACTCTGATCAGTTAACATTCAAAAGAAATTTGACTTAAATTCAAAGCCCTAAAAATACTATGAAATTCCTGATCCAGCGATATTGAATTTGGTCTCGTTTAAAACTCAGAAACTTGACTGTGGGAACATGAATTCATGTTTACACCAAACTAAACTTTAGTTTCGCAGTGACTTATAACGATAAATCGAAGCGTTTGTCGTCGAAACAGTGATGAATTGGGTTGAAATTGTCAGAAGTTGAATGCTATTAAAGTTATGTTTAGATAAAAATTACTCACAAGCAGTTCATTATAATTTGTGAAGTACGTATACTTACTTCACAAATTATTCACCACTTTATATTTCGGGATGTTAGCCTCAAAATTTGTCTCGTTTATCTTAACTATTTCTGAAGTTGATTGATTGTAATTGTGTGGTCAGCATAGGATATTATTTCAGTGCTTTATCCCAGTTTTGATTTCTTTGGAATTATTCACCACGTATATGGAGCGATTTTATGGGCTACGATGTTATGGATACTACTGAGCTTTCTTGTACGAGGTAATATAAAGCAAGTAGACGTCCGGAAACAAATACAGAGGGTTTGTATTCACACGGAATGAATGGAAATCAACGTAAAAATGAAATTTTAGATAAAATTACGAACTTAAATTCATTGATAACGTCAATGTCAAAAATATCAAAGAGAAGTTACCATATTATGTGTTTTTACTATGTAGCCACATAGATGAGAGGGAGTGGATTGTCTTACATCTGAATCAAAAGTACTTCGTAGGCATGCCTGATCGATTATTAGCAGTCAGGCTTGCACTATATATTTTTAAGTTTATTTTAAGTCTGAACAGTGAGTGGAACAAATAGAGATCAAATTAGGTTACAGTGACACTAATTTGTCACTGAAGCGCTATAAGATTAAAGTCTCTGCCTCCACACTACTACGTAGATAAGAAGCTAAATATAAGGCTGAAAACCAATCAAAATTGGAAATCACCAACATACTGGAAATTTTGACAAAATAGTCATCGTGAATGCCTGTACGCTGAAGGACTTTAGAGAAGTTAGAAACTACTAGTAATATGCTTATTTTTTCAGAAACTATCAAAAGGCTCAGTTAACTGTCTTTTGTTAGTGCTAGTCTTTAAATATGACGTCAAACTGAAGTAAACCAATAATGAATTTGATTAATTTATTCTTTTTAAGGAGACTCAGCGAAAAAAGCAACGAGCTTTCTGGTTTGATAAATCAAGCAAAGTCATTCTACTTGAAAAACCAAAAGACGTTGCAAATCAGTTTGGAAGGTTTAATTGGATTAATAACTAAAAAAGACAACATTCATCTCAGGACAAGCAAAGACTACCACGATCACTGTGTCAAATGGGAAAATGAAAGAAAAACATTGACATCGCAGCTAGAAGATGAAAGGATTTTGAACAACGTAGGTATAAAATAATATATCGTGGTTTGATAAGTTGGAAACCATGTCCTCTAGATGCATTCTTTAATTGCTGTTAGTGTGGAACTGCGTTAAACACCAGAGGATTTATCAGCAAAAGAAGACGAAAAACATAAATTACATCAATTGTGAGGAACCCTGTATTGTTCAGAGAGGAATCTCTCTAGTCATCAAAATATGTGATATATATACCTTCGAATCAGTTTCTGTAGACAGTAATAAGCATCAGTTTGACCCGAAAAATATGAAAATTTTAAATAGTCTACTTCCAGCTTTACCGCTTTCTAAAAGAAGCCTACGGCTTCATAGAACGTTTATAAAATAATGTATTCAGGAAACGAAGATTATAAAATGTAATCTTTTGGTCACCTTGAAACAAAATGTTTTCTATGCATTTGTGATTTTATAATGCTAAGTTGCTCACTGGAATTAGTCTGCATAAATTCATTGACTAGGCATACAGAACCATATAGTTACCGTAGTGGCTAATTTTACGGATGTAGAAGTTGGATTTATCCTACTAAAACGGTTGGGAAAAGTGTCATCCATTAACCTGAAACATTTTCAGAGGATGTAGGAAATTTAGCTACTCTATTAAAGGGTGGGTCATCTGTGATTCAACTCAACAACCGCAAGTCACACTTTCTGTAAACATATAAAGGTTCTCGACTTTATTCGCCGCTTTAGGAATAATGGTTCATATTTAACGCATATTTAAAGGGGAATTCAAGTTAAATTTGTGACTCTTTGTAAGTTAATTGTGCTAGTACGTAGAAATAGTGGGTAGTAAACTAGACAAAGACATGCTATAATCCATGACATCTCCAATTAGTGAATTAATTATGTCGGGAACTGGAAGTTGACTAGTCGAAAAATATTTGATAACTAGTGTTTACTAACGTCTGTGATCAGTTCAAAAAGAATTACAATAACATTAATGGGTTAAAAATTGTGTACGTTTCTAATCTACTTTAATGGGGATAATTGAGTTGGATGAAAAGAGTGTTGCAATTCAAGTTTCAGAATTCACCCAAATTTCATCATATTTTCAACCAAATAATCTGGACAATTCTTTTTGAGATTTGTAGAAAAAACAGTCACTAACTCCTAGTCTGATAAATTTTTCAGGATATGCGCATGAAATTGAATGAAGCATATGCAGATAAGTCAAAACTGGAGGATACCTTGAAGAAACTGAAAGAACAAAGGGAGTGAGTCTTGTTTTGATTGCTGGCTTTTTCTTCTAATAACTCAGTGAAAGCAATGTTTTTTGATATTTTGTGTACATTTTCGCAGCTGGATAGTAAATTGCTTTCAGTTTGTAAAAAAATATGTAACGTGGTATTATCTGATTAACTATTGAAGTTTAAGTATTCGAATCTGTAAGTCTTCAAACCTCCGTAATATAAAACACATATTTCTTTTCGATCATGGATTTTAGAATGAATTTGGACTAATTTCAGTATAGGTTTCTTTCCGAACCAGCATCAGTTAGAGATCATTGAAAAGGAGAGAGGATTGGGCGGCTGTTTCTTCATAGTTTGGGACAAATCTTTAGTGAGCACTTAGGACCCTGCCAAGGATCTGACACTGGACTTTCGGCTTGCGAGATGAAGCTTGTTTACCATTCAGCCACTTAAGCTGGAATTCAACGATCTAACCTCTGACTTGAACTCTGCTGTGAAGATGCTCAATGCTCTGCACATTTTCTAGCTAAATAAGAATAAAGTTGATTGTATCTTGAATTTGATTGTTAGAATCGTTAAGTTACAACTCTTATACTTATGAACCACCTCCTCAATCGATATATAATATCATTGTTAAAGATTTTCATTTGCTTTTGAAATTTTACGCTATAGCATTATTTTTCTATTGGTATTGGAAGGAACGGCAGTCACACCCCTACCTCAACTTCGTCGACTTCGAAAACGCCTTCGACAGACAGCATTGACCTAGAAGTAATTTGAAAACTACTTCAACACTACAGCGTGCAGTGCCAAAGTCTTTATCGATCTCATTCGGTTGCTGGCTATTTGAAAGTGGCACGTGTCAGGTGATCCACAACGCAGAGCTCAGTGGGGCGTTCGAAGTGCATACAGGAGTAGGACAGGCTGGCTGCCCACTACTATCACCGATTAATTGTGGTGGACTGGATCATACGTCAGACTGTGCGTTGGGAGCGAGGAGATAGGGGACAAGACTCCAGAAGATCCGGATTTTGTAGATGATATATGTCTAAAGTCATACAAACTCGAAGACTTAGAGGCAAAAACCAACAAACAGTCTAAAGATACAGGCAGCGAAGACACGACTCCAAGTAAACATACAGAAGACGGAGGTGATGAGGATAACCAGTGAATGGCAACAACAACAACCAGCACCAATCACCATCAGTTGGACAGATTTGACAGAGGTTACTTCCTTCACTTATATAGGAAGCCAGCATCGTTTCAACTACAGGCGGATGGCACGGGTGAAGGTGTCAAGGCCAGCCAGAATCAGAAAGACAAGAAACCTTTTGATCAACCTGAAACCAATTTGGAAATCTTCTGCACTCAACATAAAAAACAAGATTAGGATTTTCAACACCAATGTGAAGTCGGTTAGTTCTTCTATACGGGACAGAAACTTAGCGGTGGTGTCACGAAAAATGCTTCTAACAGGTTGCAAACTTCTATCAGCAGCTGCCTTCACTACATACTGAAGATCAAACGGTCAGAAAGAATTTGCAACAAGAAGCTCTGCAAACCAACCAACCAAGAAGCGATTGCTCAACAAATATGTAGGAGAAAATAGAGATAGATCGGGCATACATTGAGGAGACTGTCGAATGACAACGCACGCCAGGCCCTCGACTGGAATCCGAATGGGAAACGACGAGTAGGTCGTCGCTCCGAGGGTGACATGGAGGAGATGAGAGATTATGGGCAACCATGTTCCAAGGTGAAGAGGACGGCAGAAAATAGGACAGTGCGGAGATGTGTTGTTGAAGCCCTATGTTCCACTCGGAGCTCAAGGGAATAATAATAATTGGAAGAAACCATTATCGAAGTTGTGTGTCTGTTTAATGGGGGAAAGTATATTCCTGCTGTTTGTGTAAAAAATTCGCACACGAAACAGTATAGATATAAAAAGAAGGACATGAAATATAGTAATTGAGTACTTTTGATGGTTAAACGATCAGAAATGAAAATGACGTTAGTAATTTTTCTTGCCCAATTATAAGATTATCATTCATATACTCACATAGGTCCAATGAACTAAGTTGAATTAGATTGCCTGCTTAGGCATAGGATATTGGCTGGTTGAAAATTACCTGATTGCATTTGTATTATTCGTAAAATTGAAGTGGTTCGATTAGTAACGCATGGAAGTGTTTTTTTTTTTAAAAAATCTGATTTTTGAAAATATCATATATTCTCACACACTGATTTTCCTGTTTTTACGTCTTTTTCTCCAAATTCAAATATGCAGACGTGAAATGAAGGAATTCAATGCAAACGTACGTGTAAAATGTTTGGAAGAGGAACTTATGAATTCTAAGCTAGAAATGGAACAAATGAAAAAGGTATATTCCTAAGTTAATTTATCTTTGGTAATTTTTAGACAGATTATTTCAGGTTCTATATAGACTAAAAGACTGCTTCAGGTGATGATAGCCCTCGATTTTGGAATTCACGCAACTTGTGCGTTACACATTAGGAATACTACCGTTGTTATACATGTAGAACTTCGAAATACATTAAGCTGTATCTAGTCAGTTGAATATCGTTCACATATTACTTGAAGGGGTAGAATTTTTTTCTTCACAAAGAAGCAGAATGACGATAGAGAATAAAGCCATTTGTTCAACGACTGACAAGTTCTATACTGAAAAGTCGTTTTCCTTATTATCAACAATGCACCATTAAAATGGGAATTAGAAAACCCAAATCAGGACGAAATAGCTATTCAATACTCCCTGGTTTCCAGTGGTTCTCTATATGATGTACTGTAGGAATATAAACTGAGGCCTGCAAACCAACGCTTAAAAATAAAATAAACCATCAGCCTGGGTTAATGATGATGGATTCTGTTCACAGCTTATATGGGAAATATTGCCTTTTGACATATTTCTTGTCCACCCTGCTAACACCCTTATTTTCGGCTTTTGAATTTCTCTAAGTCTTTCTTTAGGAAGTCACTTGTGGCTATTGTGTGGGTCGTTGTATTTTCTGTAATTTTCTCGGTTGATTTTGATTCATCCTTTCAAATGTCATGAGCTAGTTTTTTCGCAAAAAAGTTCTTGTTAAGTTTTTTCCAACATAAATGTTCTGATCACAGCAGATGTTTGACTCGCACTTCTTATATAGCTATCCATTCTTCTCCTTTATGGCTTCACAAGCTTATTATATTATGGTAATCAGTGAATCACAAATCCGTACAAACTCTGCAGCTGATATGTGTCAGAGTTTCTCTCCATTTAGTCTGTCATATTTGTCTTTGATCCTCGTGTTTTCTGATAATTTCTTTTTGGATTCCCAATTCAAAAATCTTTCGCTCAGATGACAAGGTCTCGAATCCCAGGAGAGATATGAGTTCCTCCAAGTTTGCAGATACACTTTGCTGACAAGAGTCAACTAGCACGAGACCTAGGTTGAAGGATTTCTGTCGATTGTCTTTAGCCATCTGATAACAACAAATACACCTTTATCGGAAGACAGTCTGTCTTCCGTTAGTGAGTTCGTCATTGTTTTCTAACCGAAAAGGAAGTTTTGAAAGTTTTCTTATACCATCTCTTCCAATCCTACTTTCAAAATACTTTCATCATTAGTACAAACTCCATTCCTTTGGATGATTCCCTCGAGGATGATATAATGGACTTTTTCTGTCTTAAGAGTTTTTAATGCAAACTATATTTGATTGTCGGTTACACTTACGTCAATTAATCCTAAGCTACAGCATAATACTGTCAGTTTATTAAATGTAGCTGTGATGAAGGCCTCCTCAATAAAGAAAATCTCTGGTGACTTCGAAAATACGACAAATATCTCTAGAAGATATATTTCTTAGAAAAGGTTAGAAAAATCAGCCGCGAATGGGTCAGACTGTAATTTTGCTTTTTCTTAGGAACCTAGCAGGTTTATATACCTGTAGCGTCTGTGGGTTGTCTATTTAGAGTTGCTGCTTAAATGTAGTCAGAAAATGCAGCTATATATAACCAGACACGAAAAGATTAGCTGTCTTTGATCATAGGTGCCTGAGCTCTATCTCCCGTGTGAAGTGGTACAATCAGTTGAGCAATATAGAGGTTAGGCGTCGAGTGCCAGGTAAGGAGGGGAAATCAATGGACGAGGCTGTAAAGATACATCGCTGAGATGGTTAGGATATGTATTACGTATGCCTATTCATCACCTTCCTCGATGGACGGGCAATTTTAGGTGACACAGGGTTAGGTTGGAAAAGAACTAGAGGCAGTCAAACCAAAACATGGCATCAGTCAATGAAATCCGCAACAGTTAGTTAAAGCCACGTAGGAAGGTATAGACTTCCTGGTTGGGGTCCTAGGGATAATAAAAACCAATGGCTGGAGACAATCGGTGATATGGCTCAAAATCGTTCTAAATGAATAGCTCAGATGCATCCTTGTGACCTAAAATTTCCAATGGAACTGTTTTGTTCTTCGTTATTACTATTCCTTTGTCTCACACCTCTGTTTACTGTCTCTATTATACATTTCTTCTACTTTCTTCTCTTGCTTTGTGTGCTACATGGAGTGTGGCTATTTGAACTGCCGCACATTTGTGCAAAGTTCTATGTCGAAAACAGACATGTAACCGATTTCGTTCTCCTGATACCTTAATGATATAAGCAGAGCTGACAAAGTACTGCTTTTTCCATTATTTAGGGAATAACCTCATGAGTATCAGAAAACTGTCATTTATTTTGAGAGAGGGAGAGAGACAGAGAGTATAGCATTTAGTGAAATTGATTTATTTAAGCAAAGGTGATTTACACTAGTAAAATTTATTGGTTGGAAATATCAATCCACCATCTTTTTTTCTGGACTTCCTCAAGTTTTTATAGGGAATTTTAAGGCTTCAATGCAAGACATTGACTAATAGTATATCCTCCACCAATCATGACTTCTACATTGCATACTTCTGATGCATATCAGACCAAGACATTCGATGTGATATGAATGTTATCTATGCTTTTAGAGTAACGGAGAGGAGAACGTATTCATTTTTCATTTTATAAACATATTTGCATATATTTGCACATGTTTGTTCAAAAAAATACTTCGATGTAGTATCAAACAAATGAAATACGCTTCTTAGTGTGAGATAGTGATTACTCGTTTTCTCAGTAGGATTAAAACGAAAACCACTTGAATAAAAATCTCTTCAAGTATTGGTTTGTAGGAATTCGACAGATTGGTTACAGGACTTCATCATGAGCTAACATCGGTTAGAAAACCAGCTGGGAATCCTGGACAGCTATTTCGTCCTAGTTTTGAACTCTTCACCAGTACATACCAGAATGTCCCCGGTTCAAACCCAAGTCGGTGCGTACTGATGAAGAGTTCCAAACTGGGACGAAACAACTGCTCAGTACTCTCAGTTGGTTTTCCAGTGGTTCTCAAGCCGATATCAGCTCATGATGAAATTCTGTAAAAAAAATTCACTTCATTCCAACAACCTACTACTTAAGTAATACATAACATTTTCATGATAAAACTTATATCGAATTAAACAACAGAATTGTGGATGTTCAGCTGAAATACAGTGCATTTTACTCACTTTGTCTAACAGTGTGTTGTATAGTTTCTCAGATTAAAGTCTTAAACAGTTTGATTTTTTACTGATAAGCATACAAGTTGCATGAATTGAGTAAGGGAACAAGCGGTAAGAAAACGAAGCCTGATGTGTTCATCTTGATAAACGATAATGTATTCACCACTAGAACGCAGTGTTCTCTGATTTAGAATGCCTAACGAGTTATTTAATAACAAACTTACCATTATGCTTCTTACTCTGCAGGTCTGTTGTGTTTTCACTGCAAAGTTTGTAAGTGAAATGATATTCTGCGATAATGTTGACAATCAGGGTAAGATTCGAACACAGCACCTGTTGCTTCAGTGTTAGGCACACTATTCATTCAACTATCCCATGCTAGTAGGAAATATCTTATTCAAAAAATGGCAGAAGCAATCATCGACAAGTACATTTTTGTCACCGATTTAAGAGATTTAATTAGAATTTTCCTGCTTTCATATGAGATGGATATGAGATCTATTTTAGATCACCAATCGTTTCGTTACCATGGTACTTTGAGTATGGTTAGTTGTAGTGTAACAACAGAAGACAAGAGCCAGGCAACAGATCCTTTATTGAGAAAATCAACAGATATTTATAGATTTTATGTACATCATTGTCAGCGGAGAAGCAACCTCTTCTGATTGGTTGTTTTCCTGCTCAAGGTTACTCTGTACTGTCTGTGACCGTTTCTTAGAAAGTTAAGCCATATATCTGCGAATCGTATTCGCACACGTTAGGCCTTGTGTGATTGGCTGATGAGTTCCTCGAGCTTAAGCTTTGGTATTGTGTTTTTTCTCATGACCCCGACTTGGGACGTGGATATTGACGTAAATTGTTGTCTACAATTTTCGCTTGCATACAGGTCCCTCCATAGTAGTAAATAGGTCCCATTTGTTTTAGTTTATTGGAAGTACTTTAATGTACGATGTTGTCCTATGTATATATTGCACTAGAGAAGTATATCAATAAGTTATTCCTGCCAATTTTAAAGCTGAATAAATAATGGTAAGTTGATAATGTTTAATTCACAAGCATGATCGATGTTAATGTATGTTGTCCATCGATTTCTGTGTGTGATAATCGTTGTTAATCTCTTTGTTTTTTCCATGATTTTTTTCTCACTACTTAAATTTCTTTTAACGTGACAAAATTCGAATATGTAGATAAGGATTTTACACATACGTCATTGGTTTCATAAGTGGTTATTGTACAGATTGTATTACTTGAAGTTGAAAATCGATAAACGGTTTCATTTTAACACATATATATATGCTAGTGTCCAGTTTGTCATACACTACACAGGAAAGTATATTATTTATTTATAACATAAAATATGACTTATTTTATCTTTGAAAAGAGTATTTGACATTGTCAGTTTAAAATTCTTGCGCCATTTTACTAATAAAGATGGCAACTTACACTCTTCGCAGCAAAATCGTAGTGGTTTCCTATTTCTCTTTACATTCATCTTTCTTGAAAACTCAATTTTGTAGTTAAAGTGTTTTTATTCCTCAAAATTCGTTGGCCTCAGTCTCTTATACAGTGACTCATTTTAATTAGACAACGGCATCCGTCTGGGATTTCAAAATTACATTAAGGTTAAGGGAAATTCCAGTCTTAAGAAAATGGCCAGTACACACTTGAAGACACTTAAAACACAACGAATATTAACTGTAAATTTAAATATGGTAACCAGAAACTCATGAGATGTTAAATCTCTGTGCTTAAAGGAAGTTTTGTCAATCGGTTTAGATAACCATTTGAAAAT